TTCTGTCCGCCCCCGATTCTGGGAAGGCTCAGAACACTTCTTGGAAAGCTGGGGGACTTCCGAGCCTTCTCAGAAGGCCCGCCCCTTCTCACGTCCCCCCCGGCTCGCCGCCGATTCCTGGCCCTCACGGGGCTCCAGGACCGTCAAAACCTCGATTCGTCAACAGAAATCACTGCGGAAGGTTTGGTCAATGTTCGCGCTCTGGGGAACCTCGTCAGGCCTCGGTCGACCGTCAAACATGGACCTGGGATGAGCAGCCAGTTCGGGGGAAGGGTTCCAGACCCCTGGGGATCGACGTTTTTGGATGAGAAAACGCCTCCGGAGATCTGTGGGGCAGGGGGGGGGGGCGAGAAAGGTCGGCCCCTGAGATCTTGGCGTCGCCTTTCTTTGCGCGGGGCGACTTCGCCTCGATGTCTGGGCCCCATGGGCCCTCGCGGCCCGGTGGCGGCTCGGGAGAGGCCGCCAGAAGCTGCGGCCGAGGGCTCCAGCCATGATTCCTCGCATTCTGAGTCAAGAACTATTGTGTCATGGGATCTGCCAGCCTTGGGCTCACTCACTCCCGCCTGCACTGAAACTCGATCGTACTCAACTCAGCATTCTGAGTCAAGAACTGTTGTGTCATGGGATCTCCCAGCCCTGGGCTCACTCACTCCCGCCTGCGCTGGAACTCAATCGTACCCAACTCAGCCTAGTCCTGACCAGGCCCAAGCGTACTCGGCTTCGCCAGACTTAGAGACTTACCCACGCTCGGTTTCTCACACATCCGATCGCTCAAGCTCAGACAGACTCATGCTCATACTCCTGGAGGGGCCCATGGAAACACACATGTCGTGGATGTTCTTTATCCCCATTTCCCATCTGTTATCGCATTTGCATGGGAACCTACCTCATTTGTGATTGTCTTGTTTTCCCTCCGAACTCACTCAAGATCAGACTCACTCACACTCCGCTTCACTCACGCTGAGACCCACTCAGGAACATGACTGGAGGTTTTTACCTAACAGCGTTTGCTGATAGGTTTCTAGTAGGGTCAAAAGAGAGCATCATGACTCCTCAGGGGGGTCTGGGCGGGTGCCGGGGAGGAGAACCGGTTTTCGCCAACAGTCACACACTTCGTGCTCTTCGACCTCCCAGAACTCCACTCCCGGGCCACATTCTGCAGAACCGGGAACAGAGCCGGGCTCGTTTTTCGTCAACAGTCACACACTTCGTGCTCTTCGATTTCCCAGAACTCCATTCCCGGGCTACATTTTGAGTGCCTGGAGCCAACTGTAGGCCACTTCGTGCTCTTCGAGTTCCCAGAACTCCATTCCCGGGCCACATTTTGGATGCCCGGAGCCAACTGTAGGCCACTTCGTGCTCTTCGAGTTCCCAGAACTCCATTCCCGGGCCACATTTTGAATGCCCGGAGCCAACTGTAGGCCACTTCGTGCTCTTCAAGTTCCCAGAACTCCATTCCTGGGCATGATTTTGAATGCCCGGAGCCAACTGTAGGCCACTTCGTGTTCTTCTAGTTCCCAGAACTCCATTCCTGGGCCACATTTTGAATGCTGAGGCAGGCTGATGCTGCAGGCTGCAGGCTGAGGCAGGCTGAGGCTGAGGCCGAGGCTGAAGGCAGACTGAGGCTGAGGCTGAAGCAGACTGAGGCTGAGGCTGAGGCAGGCTGAGGCTGAGGCTGAAGCAGGCTGATGCTGAGGCAGGCTGAGGCTGAGGCTGAGGCTGATGCAGGCTGAGGCTGAGGCAGGCTGAGGCTGAGGCCGAGGCTGAAGGCAGACTGAGGCTGAGGCTGAAGCAGGCTGAGGCTGAGGCTGAGGCAGGCTGAGGCTGAGGCAGGCTGAGGCTGAGGCTGAGGCAGGCTGAGGCTGAGGCTGTGACTGCGACTGCCGTTGCCGCTGCGACTGTCATCGCGAATGCGACTACGACTGCGAGAACAGCAAAATTCTACAACTGGATTTTCATCTGAATCTTAAGAGGAATGCTTTCAGATATGCTTCTACATATCGCTGTTAGGTTGCTTTGCCGGGATAATCCATTCTCCTGTTCGCGGCAAGATTGTGGGGATGTCTCGAGCGACTCGTTCGTTTGGCGTCCCCGGCTCCTCTCTGTTGAAATCCTGTTGGCAGCAAACGCAGCACGTGGGCGCCCCCAGAGGAGCCGCCAGGGGGGATTCGGTTTCCCCGCTCGCACCACAGCTGCGGGGATCTCGAATGGTTCCCTTGTTTTGGCGTCCCCGACAGTTGGGAGTCCCAAAGCGGTGCGGTGACTGACCGTGCGGTGACCTCGAAATCCTCCCAGACCTCACCGCACGGTCCGTCACCGCACGGTTTTGGGACCCTGGAGGCCCCATGTCGCCCGAGACATCCTCGGAGAAGGACTCGAGTCCCACAACCGTGCGGTGACCCCGAATCTCCACCGACTCACCGCACGGTGTGGTCACCACACCGTTTGGGGGCCCCCGAGACAGAGCCTGCGGGTCACCTCGGTAGTACGGCAGGCGTCC